TGTGTGTGTGTGTGTGTGTGTGTGTGTGTGTGTGTGTGTGTGTGTGTGTGTGTGTGTGTGTGTGTGTGTGTTGGTTATGAGGCTTCAGAACTTTGGTGTGTCTTCCAGCCGCAGTGAGTCAGTAGCAAACGTAAAAAAATGTTTGATAATTTATTACACGTCGTGACCTTCGTGGAGGGGCAGGCAGTTCCACTTGAGGCCCACCTGAATAATGCTGGGGAGACACTGATATCCAGTCATTACTTTCTGAGTGTTTCGTTAAAATCTACACACGAGTTCATGAGACATTTCACTAACACAACAAAACTAATTCACACAAAGACACAAGCAAAACCCATTGTTGCCTTCCCTGCTAAGCCATAACCAGAATGAKTTGATCCTATTTGTTCACTTAAGATAATTTCATGAGTGTCAGCCAGCAGAGTCAAACATCAATTCACTTTAGGTTTATTTAAATCAGGACATATATGTTGTTTATTAATGATTAGTTTACTCAAAAGCTAGGCACAGACTAACCTGCAGATCCAGTCTCTCTAGGCTTTTCACAACTTGGAAAAACTCCCCAAACATAAAAAAAACTAAACTACAAAAATAAATAAATTCAGTTGACAAGTTAAAAAAAAACAGGAGTAGAAAAAGAATTATTAAGATTTTAACCCACTRTCAGTGTTGACAAGTTTAATTTGTCTTTGAGCCAGTTTCACCTGAGAATCCCAAACTTTTTTTTCACCAGTTAATCTGGGCACTCCTTAAATCAAACATGTTTCAAACTAGTTGACATGTGAACTCAAACGTTTTCACACCAGATRTGACCTTTGCCTTGGACTCACTAAAATAAGAACAAGATAATCTGTTATGTAAAACCTTAATTATAAATAAAAACAACAACAACTAGATTTAAACACCCTTACTTCAACACTTTTGCAAAAGTCAAAGCAAGTGACTTATAATAGAAAAACAAATAATAAAAATGAGACTTTTTTTTACAAGAAACCATCGTCTTTTGTGGACATTAACCTCACCGTTTAAGCCCACTGGTGTCTCTTACTTTTTCCTGTTAAGACCCTCTTTTGTTTCACTGAGAGAAAAGTAAAAGCGAGATGATTTACTTACCCAAAATATAATGTTGAATCCAAAYAAGAAGTATTTCGCACAGCAGCTAACCTCGGCTCCCTTTATATGGTGGTGTTTTCTGCTCATTCTTCCAGACATTGAGTTAGTTGACTCTGGACACTCACTACTTCGGAGGCTTAGCTAAAGCTACAGTTTTTAAACTAATCTCGTCAAAGTTAGCTGTCTCCATCAGATAAAACAGCACCTGGTTTACTCACCGGGTGTCACGGACGTGATAAAGTCCCACATAACTAACTAGTTTTGTTTCCTTCGCCCTCACCATTCAGCTGCTGCTGCTGCTGCTGCTAGCACCTAACTTCTGCAGCTAGCATTAGCGGCTAACAACAACAAAACGGCTGACAGCAAACTACAAGGCAAACACGTCCACCGGTCGACATGTAACCTGGGTTTATGTCACAGTCAGCAGCAGCTCGGTGAGTTAAAGCTGGCGGTGTTTCAGCGCATTGTCCCGGTTATTATCTGTTACACTGCATCGCTGCTAAGAGCCTTCATCTTTGTTTTTCTTTTTTTCTTTTTTTGTAAAGCAGAGCCCTTTGCTGCTGTCAAACCCACAGCGCTGCCTTTCGCCCTTTTCACCTCAAGAGCGGCCTCTTGTGTCTCACAGATGAGTTTTGAACATGAGGTAACAAAATAAAACCTGTAAAATAACTTTCAGTCCACTTCACCAGAACACAACACGTAAGATGGTTTAAATCAGGGCTGTCAAACTCATTTACAGAGGGCCACATGAGCGTTATGGTGGCCCTCAAGGGCCAGTTTAACTTTGACCTTTCATGTTTAACTTTGACTAAAC